TAACAAGAAAACTCATTGATAAGCAAACCACCTGATGCTTGCACAGCAGAAAAGAAAACACCTGGTTCTGCCTGTGGGTTGATAAGCCAATATCTTTAATCTTTTTTTTTTTCTCTTGATGACTGAAGTACACACTCTGTGCGGCCCTATGCTCCAGCCACATTGGTAATAGTAACAAAGCTTTGATGTCCCCCTCATTCAACAGAATGTTGTTTAGTTCAAAGCGAAGAACAGAGGCAATTCTTTGCTTTTAAATTATTAGCTCCCTAAGTCTTCTGTAATGATATAGTTTGACTGAAGTGTGCAGTTTATTAACTACATAAAGACGATATTATTAGAGCGGAGAAAGGCAGCCGAAAGTTTTGCCTTTCAGCTCAGCAGCAGGGGTTTTTGATACTTTGATCTCAATCAATGCTAAATGTCTTTGTGAGATAGAGGGAGCAGCAGAAATTACCTTTGGCACCATGACTACATCAATTATTTAGTTCTTTTTCTTATAAATTAAAGTGTTCTTCAACTTTTACCCCAATTTTTTCTTCTTCTTCTTTTTTTTTTTCCCCCCCTTCAGTTGATTGGAGAAAAAAAAAAAAAAAGAAGGCTGACTGGAAGAAGTCTGGCTGTGAACATTAATAAAAATCCCAGTGACCTTTCCCAGTCCTGGTCTGGAAGGGTCTTCTCTGGGGTGAGGAGATGGATTCGTGTGAGCAACAACAGCAAAAGGGGTAATGTGCTGTTTAACCAAATGACTGCACAGGTTGTTACCGCAAATTTGTCTGTGTCTAGGCTAATTTTCCCTTTTTTTTTTTTTGTCTTTTCCAATATTGCCAGCATGAATGCTGCTGGAAAAATGGGACACCTGATGGAAACAAAAGGATTGCTCTAAGCAGGATTTAAAGTGTTGGTGTTTATTAAAGTTCTTTCCATTGGTCCCAGCACACGCATCAGAGGGAAAGTTGAGGAGCAGGAAGGAGGCAGCCCCATCTCGGGTAACGAGCAGAGTCACCACAGGTCTCCTAAGGCTTAGAGCAGAGATTGCAAAGAGCCCGAGCCCTGCCCCGGGTCTGCAGCAGGTGCCCACACACTGCACGCTGGATGCACTATTATTACACTCTCATTAACACCGCTGATGCCAGGTAATCCCACCCAGATACAAGATGTCACCAGTTCCACTCGTCAGAAGTTGTGTCCAGTCTGGAGTTAGTCCCCTGGAGCCTATGGAGGGAATAAGCTGTTTCCAAAGATGATTCATCCCATCCTAAGAGGGGTGACCGATTCCCTCCCTGGAGACAGAGGGAGCCCAGTGTGACGGGACTAGAGGTGAGTAGGGATAATGCAGCCCAGTGCTCCTGCTGGGTAACAAGTGGATAGAGATTTCAGGGGAATTTGTGCTGGTTTAATACTCCAGGGAAGAGACCAGGCTGATGGCCAAAGAGCAGGGCCAAGGGAGGAGGATATTCCTGCCATTTTGGGGACAGAAGTCGGTGGCTGGGCTTCAGTGCTGTGGTGTCTCAGAGTGTGTGAGAAACCACTGGAACCAGAACCTGGGCTGGGAACACGAGCAGCAGCACCACGGAGATGCTGAGGAGCCAGCTTTACACCAAGACTGAGCTGGATGCAGCACGAGGATTTAAAATACTGTCCTTTGGCCAGAGAAAATTTTTGTGAGAGATAAATAAAAGAGGTCTTTGCAGAAATGTTGAAGCATGAACTATCGGAACTTCGATATATTTATATGTAGAACATGTTGGAGAACAACATAATTCTGTTTTCATGGTGATCAAAGTTTTGCAAGAAGGAGGACTTGAGACAGTGTGCTAAGCTGCTATGGCAACATGAATTTTAAAAAGTAAACTGACTTGCAAGAGCTTATCTTTTCCTCTTCAGTGTTGTGCAGAACAGACTTGGGAACCTCTATCCTAAAAGGGATCCTGCGAGGTGCTCACCTCTGCTCCTGGGCCAGGCGCATTGCAAATTCATAAAACATACCCCTCGCGGCACGGGGACAATTCCCCTGGGGACTGAGTTTCTTTCTTCCTGCCTCCCTGAGGCTCCTGCACCCCAAAATGCCAATTCATGGTGACTCTTTCATAATATATTTATCATCACTCAGACATTCAGATGTACCACGAACCACTGCAGTTGGCCTGACACGCTGATCTGGGTGGTGAGCGGGACGCCGAGCGGTGCAGCCCCTGCCCAGAGGTGAATTCCACCCTCGCAGCGCCGTTTCCAGGAGCACCATGATGTGGGCTCAGTTTACATCTCGCCTTTCAACCCACCCTCCCAAAACGCAAAGGCAGCGGTGTCAGGAGCGTTCCTGACGGCTCCCCTCACGAGGGGATGCTGTGAAGAGCTGTCGTGCTCTGAGTCAGCTGTTCTGCCGGGGCTGGCATTGCAGGCAGGAGGAGCCTGCTCCTCGCAGAGCCATCCCAGCCACGCCGCCTGCCAAAACCACACTGGGAATCTCACGGGAACGAGTCCTCTCCTGAGCCAGCTGGTACTTCCTGCTCCCCAGGCCCGATCCTGCCTGGATGCTGAGCATTCTTTGTTCCATTTTTAAATTAATGAGACTTGAGCAATGCGCAGAGCGAGACTTCAGAGGAAAAACAGGCCCTCGCTCTTCCTGGCACTTTGGCCGAATGTCCCAGCTGGAGAGGAGAGGGAGACACGTCACACTTGGAGGGACACTTGAGGGATGCCGATCACCTGGAAAACCCATCTCTAATTTGGATGTTTTAATCAGGCTGACCACACTGGCCATGCCCTCCATATGTCCCTCCTTCCACCCTGCAGGCCAGGCACGGCGTGGTGTGGACCCCAGCCCCGGGCACAGCCCCCGCACAGGGCTCACCCCAACGCTGGCAGCCCACGCCGTGGGACCCACCTCCTGCCCATGGCTCCAGCCAGAGGCTGGGGTTCCCCAGCACGGGACTCGCTCCCATCCTATCCCAACAGTGTCCCCTTGAGGTTGATGGCTGAGGCAGCCTGGGAAGAGCCCTCACAGAGGCCTGGGGGAACCCCAGAAGCTGCTCTGGCTTTTCAGGCTGGCCCACTGCTGCAGAGCGAGTGTGCAAACAAGTCCCAGCAGATGTGGGTCCCAGCTGGAGGAGCCCATGCTGACGTGGGGTGTGGGACCTCCACAGGGGAGAGCACAGCACGTTGTAGAACCACATGGCTAATTAAGCATCTTCCTTCCAGGTTCATGCAATCAATATCTGCAGTCCTACCATTGTGGCCCCCTTCCCTCAGCTCAGAGCTGGAGCTGGGAAGCTCTCCCAGCACCAAGGAGCCGCAGCAGGGCTGTGGCCTCTCCGTGGGTCTGTGCCAGCCCTGAGCCCCCCCAGCTGCTGGGGGCAGGAGAGCGGAGCCGCTGCGGCGAGGGCATGGGGCTTCCTCGCTGCTGCTGGAGTCTCCTTTCTTCTGTCAGCCAAGCAGTGGGGAGTTTTCTGAGAAACTGCCCACAGGGAGCGATCACTTTTTCCAGTCATTAACCTTACACATCCCTCACATTATCGGAATACCTTGGATGTCTAAGTTGCTGCAGTGAGCTAATTCCTCCAGGTGACTCCAGGCAGCGTTAAATGGGCTCCTGCACAGCGAGGGGATTTGAACTGCCAGAGCTGAAAGCGCTCCCGACTCCAGCACGCCAGGCCTCCAGCGGGGGCGAGATCCTCAGATGTCCCCGTGCGAGCGCAGCACGGTGGCAGGAGGCATCCGGGGCCTCCGGAGCAGCGGTTTTCAACCCGCAGCCAGCAAGCGCCTGGGAGGTCCACGGGTGAAGGGAGGAAAGAAAGAAAGCAAGGCAAGGGCTTGAGATGTACGGTGCAGGGACCTGTCCCCCCCAGGGAGTCCTCAATTGGAAAGATATTGGGGAAAAAAGGCAGTGCCCTGGAGGGATAAATGCTGGGAACCCCCAGTGCTGGCCATGGGACACCTATGGACCTCTCTGTCTGGATGTAATTGTATCAAGGTGTCCAGACCCTGACAGAGCAGCCAGTTTTGGATCCTGAAGTCCTTCCTTCGGTTTAGAAGATGAGTGTGAGGCCAAGGTACTGTTTAATTCCTTGGCAAAGAAGGGGAGATCTTCGCAGTCTGTCCCTTAAGGAGCAGAACAGGTCACCAGAGATCATGAGCTTTCCATTCCCCACGTGTGCACCACCGGAGAGCCAGCACAGCCGCGAGCGCCCGCGTTCCTCATGGAGATCACACGCCTTCACCAGCCTGTGAGACCGGGACAGGGCCTGCGTCTCCCTCAGCAAGCCAGGGGCACGCGGAGCCCAGCTGGGGAGGAAGGCAGGCTGTGTGCCCACCCCGGGTCCCTGCACGCCCGCGGTGCTGAAGAGGAGGAAACCACAGGCTCCACGTGACGGCGGTCACTGTCTGCAGGGAGCGTGACCCACGTCCCAGCCCCAGACACACGCTGCTCGTCTGCGGCCGCTGGAGCAGAAGGTGGAGGAAGAGGCGCACAAGAGGAACCCCAAATCAATGAAAGAAATATTAGCAGCGGGATAACTCTTATAATATGTACCTAATTAAATGTGATATCACTAACTCTCAGACATCGCGATGGCTTCCTGTCATGGTGTTTCCTGGATTATACATTACCAGTGTCCAGTCAGGAGCTGCTGAGTAACAATACTTAATGAAAACAATCACAAAAGAGACCACATTTGTCTCTCATGAGTAATAGGTGGTCACTGGCAGTGACTGCCAGAGCAGAACCAGATCTTCCCGACAGAGCAAAGCCAGCGAGAGCAGTGGGTACAAGAGAAGCACCACGGGTGGTGTGGGGCTGCACCCACCTTTGCTTTGGGGTGGTGCATCTTTCTGCTCCCCTGGGAAAGAGTCTTTGGGTAGAGAAACAACCTCTTGATTTTCCCAAACTGCCCTGTGATTAGAAGCATCATCCCAGACCTGGGGGACATGGGGACCACCGAGAATGTGTATGGAGAGACAGTAAATCCCCCAGCAGAAGTCAGCAGGAAGAACCACTCCAGCCACACAGGCAAAGCTCCATTTACAATTGGAAATACAGAACAGTGACATCAGAAGTCACAGGCTACACGGCCAAATTACAGAACAACGACCCACCCCACACACATCTAGGAATGCCCTCCGCACTTGAACAAAAAAATACCTTCAAACACTGACACAACATAAGGAGAGCAATGTTTAACACTCTTGAATCACAACAGAGTTAAAGACTGTGGCAATGCATCGATCTCGGTTTGGAGAGGCCCAAAACACAGGTTTATTTTGGATCTTCCCAGGTGTTGCTGGGGTGCAGTTCAGGTCATGGTTTCAAGGCCCATCCCAGCACTGAGAGGCCCCAAAAGGGAGACGGAGCGAATGCAGCAGTGCCCTGGAGCCTTTGCTCTCCTCCTGCACTGCCTGCTCTTCGGGATCAGTTTTGGTTTGGACTCAGGAATGATGCTATGCCACACAGTACGCAGCTTCTCATGAGGGGCTCGCTTTATTTTCCCCAGCGATCAGCTGTCTCTTAATGAACTTGCTTTAAAATTAAAACATGATTAATAATAAGAGGTGGACCCAAGCTGGGGACATAAACATGCCCCAATCTTGGCATTGAAATCTGAGCCCTACTCTGAAAAACGCCTGCCAGCTCTGCTCCAGCTGTGCTGTGTACAGCCTGCTGACACCTCATGGCCAAGCAAGTAATTCAGATAAGACACCATTTCCCAGGATATAAATATACACATAAATTCCCCATCTGCTATAAGGCAAGAAACGAGGTTCATTTATCAAGAAGTTTGTAATGAGCAGATCTGAATAGACCAAAGATAGGAAAGAAAACCAGTCCAGAAATTCTTCAGATTCTTGAATTTCAAACAGACGGGTCCGTTATTCATAGCTGTGTTGGTCTGAGCTTCCTCGATGCTGAAGGACGGCTCAGATGCACTTCTTCAACAGCATGGCCTGGGTACTGAACCACACACGGCAAACCTCGTGCTCCCAGGCCTGGAAAGGGATGGTCCATGTCTGGGCTGCTCGCTACCCAGCTCTTCCCTCTTCCGTGGGGTTCTCCCAAGGGCAGATCACCTCCTTGGCAGAGTCCTTACGAGCTCTGTGGTGGTTGTCCTCTCCCTCCACAGAGTCTATGGGGTGGATTCGGCTCTCCAAAGGAGCATCCATTTTTATTTGGAAGAAGCTGTGTTGTGAAATAAAAACTCATCACACGTACGGCACTTTTTGATGTACTCTCTGAGAGAGCGAACACACAGCACGGAGTCTGGCTTTGAGTTTTCCACTGCTCAAACCCCAAATCCCAAAGCAAAACTCCTGGGCACAGGCCCGCAGAGATGGAAAATGAAGGAAACGTGCACTCCCACCTCTTTGAAGCAAAACTGCTGTGTGACACAGCTCCAGCACAGCCAGAGCGCGGAGCCAGGTGGAGAAGGAGCCCTCAGATTTGTGCTTTTGAATTTATAATGTGGACTCATCCACTTGGTCAGCAGCAGAGGTGGGTTAACAGGGGTTGAGGACACGTTACTCTTAGTGAGGGCCAGGGCCAGGATTTGGTTTCAACAGTGACAGCCTCTCCAGGCAAAAAATCCCTGTCCTTACACATCCTGCTCGGGAATGACAAATGTTTCATGACTCTCCCTCAAGATTTCTCCTCCCTTGTTACTTCTGGGTCTCCTCTGACTTTCAAATCATTAAACCGAACTTGAACTGGCACTTGAGAACAAACACGAATATACGAGCAATTTTCAAAATTCAGGGATCAAGAGTAAAACCTGGGGGCTTTACACCATGAAGAGGAGGTGTGAGCGCAGCAGAGAGGGACGGCTGGCACGGGCTCTTGCCCGTTTCTTACCAGAGAACACATCCAGAACAGAAAGCACGCGTGAGGAGCGAGGGGAAGAGAGGCTTCCAGAGGCCTGACCATGGTGTGTGCCAGGCAGCACAAACGCCATGGGGGGGTTTAGAGGCAGTTTAAGGAGCAGCAGCCATCGGCCCGGCCCGCAGCGCCCCCCCCAACCTGGCAGGGAGGAGCCACGGGGACAGATGGGGTCCCTGGGTACCTGAACACTCCACCGTCTCTGCTGGGGCAATGACCTTGACCTCATCTCCAAAGCCACCAAAATAAACAAACTGGATAAACAACAACTTCTGTTAACATACGTGGGGCAGCAAGGCCGCCATCTCCTCCGGCCTGCTCTGCTGTGAGGGGCCTCAGGACATGGGGCAGGGGGGGACAGGCGGTGCTAGTGCCTGGTGTCCCCAGGAGAGGTGAGGCCACATCCCTGAACCCCAGCAGCCTCACGGCCCACTGCTCCCTGGGACCACTGCTGCAGCACCTCCATTTTCCTGCCTGGCACCAGGGAGGAGCAGTGCCGGTGCCAGCTCCTGGCAGCCGCCATGACAGGCAGCCCCAGAGCAGGCAGACACGGGGCTGAGACGGCGAGAGCTGACTGGAATATGAAACACAAACCCCACTTCAGTGGGCTCAGGCAATACTATTTCAACCTAATTACAAACCCAATCAATCTCAGAGGCCAGCCCTTCATGAGGGCGGCCGGGTGCCCTCAGGGTGCTTACCTGCTCACTGCCTTGGTGTCCGGCTGGAGCTGCCGCTCCCGCTCGCCCAGTGGCTGCACCTTCCCGTGGGGCATGGCCGGGCACTTGGGCGAGAGTGTGGCCAGGACGGGCGAGGACCAGCAGCCCCTCGTCAGGAACCGGCCGAAGGACAGGGCGGCCGCACGGGACTTCCTGCTGCCGGAGGGGAAGGGGCCGGTCCCCTCAGGGTCCCTCTCAGCGCCCGCCGTGCTGTCTAGGGCCACGCTGATGGGCGAGGGGCAGGCGGTGCCGTGGGGCAGGGCCGGGGGGCCGGGGGAGGCAGGAGCCAGGCTGCTGGGGCTGAGGGGCAGGCAGGCGGGCGGCCATGGCGGGGTGCCGGCGTAGACAGCCGGGTGAGGGGCCAGGGAGGCGAGGTGGCACCGCTGTGGGGAGGAAAAGGAGAGAGGCTCAGTCAGGCCCGGGGGGGCCACATGGCGGTGGCTGCCCTCCCCAGGCTTCCTCAGAAGGAGAAGCCTTCTCCTCCTTTGGAGGCCACCGGCATCCTGCCTTTGGAGGAGAAGGGCCGGGTGCTGTCAGTGCTGTCGGGAGAGACGGGGCTCAGCTGGGAGGCAGGCGGCTGTCACCCCAGCCCAGCCTGGGACGGCGTCCCCCCTTCCTGCAGCTCTGGCCCCCTCCCTGCCCTCCCGCAGCAGGAGAGCGGAGCCCTCACCCTTTGCCCATGGAAAGCAGCAGGGTCGTGGCTACCGGCCTCAGCGGGCGCTGACAGATCCGGCCCCACACCCACTGGGATGCTGTGGGAGACACCAGTTTGTCTCATTCCTTACAACAATTAGCTGCAGGCACGGAGGAGTCGGCTATCCCGAGAATGTCATCTCAGTTGTGAACAGCATAACCATGTCACGCCCGAAGCACCAGTGTGCTGGCTGCCGTGGCGGCCAAGAAATAGGACACTGAGCTCCAAACCCTGATGACCGATAATACAAGAAGCTACCAGTGTCCCTTGGCTGGTGCTGTGAAGTCTCCAGCTCAGCTAATTCAGCCCTCGGGCCGCAGCCGAGCAGAGACGGATCAGCAGAGGACATGCTGCAACCCGGGGTCCCCCCCGCCGCTTCCCAAGGACTCAGTCCCAGCAGAAATGAAATGCAGCTCGAGTGTCCAAAGAGAAGTGATGAGAGCAGAGGCACATACAGAAGACACATGCACGCGTGGCAGGGAGATGACACAGTGAAGGATGAACATGCTGAGACAAGACAGAGAAGGATGAACTCGGTTCTTTTTTCATTTTCTACATTTATTAGACAGATGAATGCATAGAAGTGATGGCCAAGAAATGAAACAACATATTGCTCTGATTTCCAATGGAAACAAACAATTTCTTGGCTGGCACAAAGTGCAGTTCAGTTTGTGCCGCGGTCACACTTTGTACCGGGCGACCTTCCTCTTTGGGGACTGAACAGCAAGGGCCCGAGGAGCGGGACACTGGGTCACGCCAGCTCAGTCAGCCCAGAAGCAGAACAGAGCCAGCTGCTGCCTGCAAGTGCGGGACTGGTGTTTCACAAGCACAGTGACTCCAGAGCACGCAGCATTAACCCGTGTCAGCGAGGCAAAGCTGAGATGATGAAAAATCAGAGGAAGGAATGGATAGAGAGAACATGAAAAGCAAAGCTGAACAAAACAGAAGTAGAATCAGAGGGACTGACTGGAACACACAGATTTGTTATTTATTATTTATACCCTGACTTCATCTCCCACATGTTACTGCACACTGGCAATCCCAACGCGCTCAGTGCTCCATGTTAGACAAACTCTGAAGAGACTGTAGGGCTCATCACACCCAAGTAGCTTTGGACCAACCCTGTCCAGTTCTTGAGTCTCCTTCAATGCTCTGTGTCAAAGTAGGTTGATGGTGCTCAGTACCTCACCTTCAAAATCCTTGTGATTTTAAGCAGAATTGAAAAATGTATGGTCTGAGCCTGCTCCCCCTTACGATATTGCAATATTTGCCACTGCTTCCACTGGGAATAAGAGCAGAGACTCAGCCAGCAGACCTTGACACCAGAGCACACGACTCACACAACTGGTTTCAGTTCCTCTAAGGTTTGTCACCATTAGGTTAATGCAGGTCATTAAAATCTCCCCAGCTCAGCTGCACAATGCAGGGGACTGCTTCTGCAGTGACACCAGATCAGAGCACACAGCCCTGATTCTGCCCCCATAACGTGCACAGGGGGGTCGAGAGTCACCGTTCAAAGCTGATCAGACACAGCCCTGTCCGCGAGGGGCTGGTCTGCAGGAGCCTCGGTACCCGAGGGCTCCCACTCACTCCCAGCCTCCTCCATCTCCCAGTTTCTGTCAAATCCCACCAGCAGTACAAATGGATGAACAATAAAACAGGAGTGAAGAAGCTTCCCGGACCTCAGTCCTTCCCACCCAGGCCCTCTGTTTCCCCTAAATTCTAAGAAACAAGGAAGCTTTTCTGCCCCACCCCCCCCAAATTCCCTTTACTGGACTTTGCAGGAATTTTCCCACTTCTGGTAATCATTGGCCTGGTCCAGACACACCGGGGTTTCCCAGCAAAGCCTGGAATCTCCCTGAGCTCTTTAGCACTACCGTAGTTGTTTAGGTTGCCTCACTCTAAAGAGCAAAAGAGACACAGCAAATGAAAAAAGCACTACTTAAAGTTGAAGTCAGCTCCTAACATCTTTGCCCTGGCTCTTCTTTGCCCCTGGGCTACAAGCCAGTGACAATTGGAACTACCTCCCGTTAGGATTTTTTAACACCAGAAAACAGAAGAGCAGGAAAAAGACAAGACGAGGCGGGAAGGATTTGATAAAAGAAACACAAAGCTGTGGCTGCATCTCCCGAGCCCTCCCGCAGGCTCTGTAGGGCTGCACACCCTCATGATTGGGTGGGGGGGATGGAGGGGGAGCAGAGCCTTCCTCTGATCATCCCCAACGTGCCAGGGGTACACTTGGGAGCATCATTAAAATTCAAAGGGTCACCCAAAGCTTCAGAAACCCTCGTCCTGCTGTTCTCACAAGAAGCCTACACAGCTCTGCTGCCTGAGGCTCCTTCGTGCTGGTTAGGAGGTGCAGGATACTGGAGCTGAGGGGGGTGCTCCTCTCAGGGGTGCCGGGCGTGCAGCCCTTGGGAGGGGGCAGACCCCCTGAGAAGATGGATGCAGCACAGAGGCACTCCAACACGGACCACCTCTGCTCCGAGGAAGGCTGATTTGAACCCAAAGGAGTGGGAGAGCAGAGCGTTGCTCTGCCTTGTGCCATCCCAGCTCCTGGAGGAGCAGGAGGCAGGGAGAGGTGGCCGGGCTGCCCAGCCTCCTGGGGGGGCTCGGGGCAGCCAGGGGGCATCCCCCCTGCGGGGTGTGCAGGAGGGAGCCGGGGCCCTGCACCCCGTGGCCGGCAGAGCCAGCGGCCTGGCTCCGGCAGCACTGCCATGCCTGACGTGCCTGGGAAGTGACATCTGCTGCTCCAGAAGCCATGGCAACGTGCAGGCAGCAGGCTGCTGGCAGAGCCGGCCTGGGAAACCTAAAGCAGCACTGACACCTTCAGGAAGGGGAGACGAAGCTCAACACCAGCCTCAGCTTGTCTTTTCCCTGCGCTGTGCCCTGCAGGGCTCAGAGCCTACTTGGGAGGTTCCTGCTTGAGCTGGCTCCTGCGATCCAGCTTGCTCATGACCTGCGTGATGTCCACGGTGGTGGCGGCTTCTTTGGCTTTGGCCTCTTCCTCCTGCTGCCTCAGGATGACAGGGCTGGGGCTGGAACGGAGGTGACGGCGTCCAAACGGGAAGGTGGAGCTGGGCAGAGTGAGAGAAAGATGCAGGGCGTTACTGAAAAGCAGAAGGGCACCAAAAACTCACTCCTGGTAAGAAAACTTACCAGGAGGGCAAGCTCAGACACAGAGAGGGACGTGCCACTGTCACCCTCACAACAACAAAGAAGTGGAAGTGAGGATGAGGTGGTTTAAAGCAGGACTGGGTGACTCAGTGCCACAGGACTGCTAAAAATGTAAATGCAGTCCTGCTCCTGGTCCTCAGGAGGGACTCCAGGGCCGGGAGATGGCCGGCACATCACTCCTTTTGTTTTCAGTGTTTGCATGTCACTCTCAGTGTGAAGCCAAAGAACTCCCATCAGTAGAATTTTTTCTAGTGGTCTCAGTAGGGTCAAGATACAGACCAGTAGGGGTGCTTCTGGTGTCTGTGATACCCCAAAAAACCACCCACTACCTGCTTGAGCTAGGCCATTGCCAGCAGCAGCAGAAGCAAGTGTTTAACCACCTCTAGATGAGCTACGAGCTCTTCAGCTTAGCCAGGATGCTGCGTACTGTGTCTCCACAACGGGCACTGACAGACACGAAGGCAGCCACCAGCATCATCAGCACCTGCCAGCGACCTTGTGATGTGCAGCCCAGGGAAAATCTAACCAAACTCCAGGCAAGACAGCAGGAGAGCTTCCTCTGCCAACTCGAAACAGGCTTTAGATGAAACAATAGTGTCCATGATTCCTCTTTCTTGCTTGCTGGGTGGATGGGTGCAAGAGGAACAGAGAAAGCACACCACCCAGTTGGGCTCCGACAGTGCACGCTCCGCTTTCAGAAGCAACTGCGGTTCAAATAGCCTGAATTTGCTACACAACCTTCATCTTGGGCAGGAAAAAGCCATTTCAAGCCTGCCCCTTCTAAGACTGTCTACTTTCTGGCAGCAGTCACTGCTGCCTGTCACCTTCACTTCGCAGGGGGGAGGTGGCTCAGAGCCCAAGGAGGACCCTGCGGTGGCTCCGTGTCTCTGGCCGCCAGCGTTTCGTGGGTGGGAGCTTTCCCATGCCCTGTACACACTGCTCTCTCCTTCCAGGAAAGGAGCCATGGTTAATTCAACAATCACAGCCTTTCCAAACAGACCCAACAGACAAGGCAGCCGAGCCATCCTCGGGTCAATTCTGACTGCACACAAGCCACTTCCAAAGGGCTCACAAACTTACAGCGTAACCAGTCTCAAAGCAAGGCATCTTTTTAGTGAAAAATTTTATTTAATTAAGCAAACATCTAAATCATAGTAATTTTGCTGCAACTCCGGGTTTTTCTACCCTTGCTACAACAAGAAAAACAAACCCCACAATTACATTCAGTTTCACTTGCCTTTTTTTGACAGTCTCTTGTGGCACAACAGCCTTGGCCAGCATTTCCTTGTATATTGGAGACTTTAAATAGCGGCCATAGGAGTCCTACTAGGAGAAAAAAGAGAAACTGGTAGTTATGGGCTGCAAACACCCTTATTAAAATCACCACCAAATACAGCTGCTCAGGAGCCAGGGAGGCTGGGAACCAGATAATCTCCCCCAAACAGCCCAAGGGACTTTGCATCTTTCAGGCAAATGTAGCTGTTTAAACCAATACCCTTTCATCTTGCTGTAAAATTCCCAGGATTTCCCACCTCACAATAAAGCTTCCCAGGTAAGATCCAGACCAAAAAGGTCTGAACTGAGCTTAGCCCAGGCCCGTGGTATCTCACAGTCGTTGCAAGGTGAGGAGCTCATGTTTCAGGAGCCAAACTGTTCAGCAACTGGTGAAAATCAGTGTAGTTCTGCTGCTTTCAGTGTCAACGTGCAGTAGCTGCTGCTCTGCTAAATGCATTTTGTGTTGCTATAAGGAGGAGTCACGGGTTATTTGTGGTCACCGTGATCTAATGAAAGCCAAGACATCAGTCTGTCAGTACACTGACATCAGCCCACAGTCTTGCATCAGTCTGACCAAAAAGAAGGGTGTCTAACAACATAACCACAGAAAAATGTGTGAAAAGACTCAGTAAAACTTGAGATGGGCCACGTCTGGTTATGCTCTTGGTACAAAACTCATGCAGTTATATCACAATTGCTGCCACCTTTCCCATCCACTGCTGAAATCCTGTCGGGTACAAGCATCCCACCACAGAGACACCTGCTGTCACACACACACTGGTACTAAATGAATAAAGTTCAAAGATTTGTTCAAGCTTTGAATGAGCTGGTGACCGAGCAGGACTTCCAGCAGCCACCTGACCCCCATCACCTTGGGGACATGCTGCCTCAGAGGGAAGAAGCAGCAGCAAACTACAAAGGCCTGGAGCAGTTCCTGCTTAAATCAGCAGATTTGAGGGATTTTCAAAGAAAGGCCACTTGAAAGTGACAGCCGAGAGCACACAAGGGCACGGAAAGGCCCAGAGAAGTGGAATCCCCCTAAGGCTTTGGAAACAAATAACAAACCTTTTTCATCAGCATGTAAATGTGGGTCTGAGCAGCATCTAACACATAGCGATGAGGGTGCTTGAGGCCTTTCACTGTGATGCCCATTGTTGTGCCATCAATGTTAATCCAGCGCCTTGCTCCCGGAGCCAGGAAGAGCCTGCAAGGAGGAGGGATCAACAGTGCCCTTATCAGCTGGAGAATTCCCAGAGATTCCTCTGTCTACACATGAAAGGAAAAGTCCCTTCAGCTCCCCACTATAATTTGCTGCCCTGGTCTTGGGCAGTCAATCTCCTCTTCAGCACTGTGACCTGCAGTCACTTCCTCTTGCACTGGGAACACACAATACAAACCAAATTTTAGCTCACTCTCCCTGTGGCAGCCTCTGGGCCTTTGCTATTCCACACCTCTAGTTAAATTACATGCTAAAACCTAAATGGTGTGGAGTGGAGAACAGAGTGGAAAAGTAACTATAACAAAACAATGCTTGTGCTTTTATCTTCAAAAGCTCCTTTCCTACATGGGGACACAGGACTGCCACATTTGATGGCAGCTTACAAAGAAAAGTCTCAGGAATAAATCATGTGGAGAACGACAGTGTGTAGAGGACGGTGATGGGACTCCTGGACAAAGAGTTTAAGAATGCAGAATTATCACACTCACTTGTAAATTTCTTCTGCTTTTTCTTTGACCTTGGATTGGTCTCCATACTTGAGATCCTCACAGGCCTCCCAGAAACTCAGATTCTCTCCTGCGAAACAAGGATGCAGTCAGCAGAGAGCGAGACTGAGGAAAACACAGTCCCATTTATTCACTCCTAAACTGAACGTGCTCGACTCAGTCTGCGTTGGCCCCAGTTCAGCCTCTCCAATTCTTACAGCCACCTGGAAAATCCCCTTGGGACCGAAGGAGGAAAACAACTCTCCCCTGTCCTCTGCTGAGGGACGATGTCACCTGTCAGAGCCTGTGAATCCAGGCGGTTCCAGCCTCCTTGGGACCATTTTGTGTCCTGTATTTTGTGTCCTGTGCCACTAGATGGTATTGCCTGCGCTGGCTGCACAGCCACGGCCTCCAAAGGCACTTCTGCTGCCTTTTCTTGGTGACTTTGTCCCTGTCTCAGCTCGCAGCACCCACTGCACAGCCCTGGATTCCCACCACGCTCTATGCTGTGCAGGGACACAGGGACACACAGCAGACCCACCGCTGAACTCCTTCTTCAGGAAGAGCTGGAAGTTCTGCCGCCCTTTGGGGTCCCGGATCAGCTCACTGAAATTGAAGGCCCATCGCTCCACGCGCATTCTGGTGGGGATTTCCACTCTGCACGGGTCGAAAACAAACAGCACTGCCAGTTCCACGCGGCCCATCTAATTGGCAGATTAATTAAAACCAAAATGCCCTTTGCTGGAACGCCAAGAGACTTCACAGCACTCACTGTTTTCCAGAATGCTGTAATGAGCTCCCGAAGTCAGCCCACTAAGTAAGCTGTAATTAAACAACTTGGTACACAGTGGGATGAGGATTTATCTCGGATTTATGCTGCTCTCACAATGGCGGCCCAGCTTTGCTGGAGGTTTGACTCAGTCCCATTCTGGAGGAGGCACTGGTTGTTGCCCAAAGCTTTGCTGCTCATAAAGGCATTCTGTGAAGGTATCCTTTGGGGCTGTCTAATGGGATATCATCACTCTAACAGGATTGCTGGTCTCAAATGAGAACCAGTAACACGCTGTGTGCTTCAAGCACAGAGATGCCACTGTGTAATTAGCAAATGCTATCCGAATGGAAAACCAAGGGAGACCTCAGAGAAGGGAGGGACAGCCCGTGTGTGCCTCCAACCCAAACTCGCTCCTAAGAAAGCTGCCCAAGGTGTGAGCAAAGACCAAGGGCCAGGGGTTGAACCCTGAATTGCCAACCATTGGCAGCACGTAATTTAGCAAGGTTAATGCTAAGGCAAGTGCTATACCTGAGCATAACTGGCCATATTCCATTCCTGCACTAGTAAAAATGGACTTTCATCCAAGGGGAGGATGAGACCCCCTCAGCAGGGGCTGAGTGCATACTCCCATCATCAGTCTAGGAATTCCTGTGATGTTAAGGAAGCCTCCACTTGAAGAAAATAATGCTGGAAGTTCAGTGTGGAGTATTCCCAGGAGACAGTTTCTTTAGCATGGCCAAGCCATGTCAGAAAGGGAACACTTCCCTGCCCATTATCAGAGGCCAGATATCATGATGAAATCAGCGGTTCCCTTTTCTGATTTCTGTCAGCATAAAGGTCAGCGTAAACCACAAGCTGGCAAAAGAACACAAATACATACAGCTTTGCATTGAGATCCCAGAACTCGGTGTCGTCTGTTACCCAGGGGTTGCTGGGGAGACAGCCAGACAGGATGGGATCGTTGGAGAGGAACTGCTCCGAGTATTTCACAAGCCTGTAAGTAAATCCAACAGAATCACCTTAATCTGCAGGCAGAATTGCAGCCACCCCCAGCACCACCAGATAAAGGGCTGCACAGACCAGAGATGTCTCCAGAGCAGCAGCCCTATAGCTGGGGGTCCGGAATGTGGGCCCTGCCTTGTGAGAAAAATCCATTCATCAGCTCAGTTCATCTTTCCCATTTCCCAAACAATGATCTCCTGGTTGTCTTTCAAAGCAGTGAACTTGTCAGTTCAAGCACAGGGAGATACAAGACTCTCTTCCATCCCCTCCTTTTGCCTTTTCATTTCAAGGAAGTGGGACTAAGCCCTCAAACGGCTTCTATCTCCTTCCCCAACCCAGTGGAAAAGGCCTGATGCTGGGATGCTTTTGCCACACATTACAGAGAGAAAAGTGCCAGAGAAGAGGAAAATGAGTATTTGCTCAGAGTGGGTTCTTGGCAGCCTTCCCGTGGGGTGTGGGAGAGCCCAGGGAGCTGCAGGAGCACTGAGGGCACAGCCCGGCTTCTCCGCTCCTCCGCTCACCTACCGCAGGGCTCATTCCTCTGCAAATGCCTCTAAGGGCTTGGCACAAAGCAAAAATGTCTCCATCCCAGCAGGAACCAGACAAACACTTCTCCTACCTTCTCAGTTGGCCAGACTTGTAATTACAACCGATTTCACTAATGTCCTGGAATTTTAGCTTTCTCCTCCCTTTTTCATTCTTGAAAAAATCATCTGGTTTCTGTGTTTAAAATTCCTTCCAGGCCAAACTGCTTTCATGTGCTTGAAGCTAGGAGAGCACTGTCCAAGGACCCATTGCTAACAGGCACCTTGGCACAGATCCTGCAATTGTACAGTGCTGCTGCACAAAGCATCCCACAGCTTGGCACCAAAGTGCTCGATCCTTCCTTCTCAGGAAGGAGATGAGTGCTGAAGACTAATTAATGTGTGGACAGAAGGAAATCAGGACTTACCCTCCAAGAGAGACAGAAGATTTCACTCTGGACTTCATGATGGCCTGCTGATAGTACATGATCTGAGAGGGATCAGACATGTCCATGGTTAGAAGCACGGAGATGTGAAGACAAGACCATCTAATCTGAGCCTCAAACATGCCCTCTCCCAGGTAGTGAGGCTAATTACATCAGCGACTGCTTCTTCCCTGATTATTGGATGTCCAAGGAATCAGAGAATCCCTAAACGGTCTCAGCAAAATGGCTGTTCTCACTGAGCTTATTGCAAGTGTCAGAAGAGCATTTTGCAATGTGCAAGTAATTAAAAAGCACTCCCCGTGCTATACAAAAATTGGATAATAGCTACCATTCTAGGCACCTACGAATGCTCTGGATGATTTAGCATGTAATTATCATTGATCCTTGGCTGTCTCTATGCTGGTGCCACTGGATGTATCTCCTACGATTTCCCCACCGCTAATTGTGATCTATTGGATTTCATCCCCGGTGTCTGTCCTTGCCTGAGCCTTCCCGTGCTGGGGAGAGCTGCTGGCTGCCTGCAGCGGGAGGTGCAGAGGCAGGAAATGCACATCCACCAACAGCTCCGTGGGGCAGAGACTCCCCCAGCCCAACCCAGGTGTCTCCAGAACAGCTTATCCCCTGCAAAGGGGGCTTCGAGCCCCCACGCAGCACCGACGTGAGCGATACACACGGAAAGAGCACCTGGGGTGAGGGAAGGACCACTTACCTCTCTCCTATAAACATCCATAGTTTTTTTCTGTAAAATAAAGAAACAAAAATCATTACATTGGGATAGGTGCTTTCACTTTTCTGAGATGCCAAAACACCGTTGCAGGGCTGCCACAGTGCAGCGCTCTCCAATTAATTCTCATTACAATTAAAATCAAACACAGCAGCTCAGCTAATCAGGGTATCATCAAAGCTAAGAGCATCCACACACCGTAAATTGTTCCATTAGCTGTATTTACTGTTTAGCATTGCTTCTTCCATCACAGGCTGCCTGTATGCCTTCAATTACGGGGTTATTCTAGTGGAGCTAAAATAGATTCGTTTACGAGACACAGATTAGATCATTCAATATTAGCTAAAGGAGACAGGAACCAACACATTGCAAAATATAAACACCACAATTAAAAGCCTCAGAAGCAGTGTCTGCTGTGCCAAGGGTGCTTATGTTGTGATTTGAATAACTCAGACTATGTTACATGTCATCCACAAATGAGCGAGCAATTGAAGGCAAGAAATTAACTGCAGGGTGTTTATTCACACGGCTTCCTTTGAAGCACAGTTACTTGGTGTGAAATAAACTTGGGGGAGAAGGAACGACAGGCTGAGGGAGGGACCCTCCCACAAGCCTTTAGCTTTCAGCGTTTCAGCTCTTCATCTCCTGGTTTAGGCAATAAAATCTGCATCCCAGAACCGTTCTACCAAACTAACCCTGGGGCTGCCACCCATCCCACGGCTGCTCTGGAGGGGACCATTGTGGGACACCGGTGTGGATCTGCTTTTCCATTTTAACAATTGTCACTAGTCCTGCTCAGGAGGGAGAAACTATTCTTTATATGGAAGAAAAATAAGCACATTTTGCCAACACTTGGCTGGTTTTGAGAGGGTGCACTCACCAGTTCAGCAGCAGGAGCCCAAGAGGCAGCCACCAGCCGCTCTGTGCAGCGCTGCCATGGAGCCAGCCCCCTGATCTTAACACAGACCTCACCTGGCCAGGGCAGCACTGACAGAAATCCTGGCTGTGCCACTGCAACGGGAGGAAGCTTTTTCTGCTGGAAATATCACCACCAGCTCTGAATGCCTGCGGCACACAACCTCAGGAGGGACAAAGAGGGAAGCAAGCAGTGGCTGCAGCAGCAGCAATGCCCTGCTGGCCACACAGGAGGAACCGTGTGCCAGGGGGTAAGGGCTGACACATCGGGGAGGCAAATCCTCTTGGCCCCCAGGATCACTGGCCACGGGGCTGGACAGCCTCCCTGGCTGATTCAAAGCTTCCTGGGACATCTCATAAATGGAGGACACACAGACTAAAGAACAGGTTGTCACGCTGTAGCTGTACCCAGTGCCAGGCCCGCTGCCGTGGAGGCACCGTTTCTAACCCCATTTCTACAGTGTCATCTTTGTTTCAGACAGACTGTAGAAATTGGAGGGAAAAAAGTCCCCACCTGCTTGTGCAGAGAAACTCGCTGCATTTGCTGTCCCAGAAGCATCCTCTTTAGAGAACTCTGTTTCTGTTTTAGGCCAGCTATTTCCTGCACAATAGGAGTTCTCTATCTCCCTGAGTAACCCGAGAGACAAACCAGGCCCCATCAGATTTACAAATGCCAGCTGAACTGTTCTGTTTGAGGGAACTTTAGTGTGGCTGGGTCATTTGCTTTAGGAAAATTAACACATTAAAATCATTAGATGGTTTTAAAAGGCCCCTCATTTCTTCCTCTGTTTTGTGAAGTGGGTGCCTCCAAGGTGCCGTGGGGTGAGCAGAGGTGGCTGCTGGCACAGGGGCTGGAAGGCAGCTCACGTGGCAGTAAAGTTGTGTTATCTTCTAGAGGGGCCTTAGAGGCAGGCAGCACAGCACACACACGAGACAAACAGCTGGGGGGAAAGAGAAAAAGACCACGGTAAGTTAAACATTACATAGAGCAAGAAAGGCATGAATTAAAATGCCGTCACAACACAAAAATTATACGTGGGTGAGTAAAAATCAAAGCTAATGCCATGTCTGCAAACAAGGAAAGATTTTTTTTTTAAGGATCCCCTCCTGCCACACGTAGGTCAGTGCCTTGGACAGCTGGCCCTGGGACCCTTACCCCCAGATACTGAGAGCAGCAATGCCGAAGTGCTCCTACCACCCTCATTTGCAAGGAAACAATATTTGGAACAAAGGAGTAATTTCTTATAATGAGATTAATTTTGCAATGCCCTTAATGAGTGACTTATCGCAATTACCGCGGATAAGCTCCCCGGCCCTGCAGGCTTCAAATCAAAATAGCAATTAGTGAAAGACCTTGGTCTGTCTCAGGCAAGCGCCACGTGCTGTTAAAACTCCTCCTCCCAGGACACGCAGCGGCGCTTGGACAGCCCAAAGAGCCTCGTCACACCCCCTGCCACCAGCCCAGTGCTCCCCAGGAGCTGCAGAGCTCAGCTGGGAGCCAGCCAGGACCCACACGGCTGAAGCCACGAGCTCTGATGAGAGCTGGGACATCTACTGACTTCCAGCTAACCACTGGCATGGACCTCTCTGCTCTCCACGTGGAGATGATGGTCATGTTTTTGCCTCTCGGGCCACCACTCCATGTTTACAGAGACCATCACACCTGTAACAGTCCGCATGCCCAACTTCCTTCTAATTGCCAGTTTTCCCTTATTTTGTTCATCTGCTTCAGTTATTTCAACAGCTGTGATGTGTGCAGCACAAGTTATACATTTATCAGGCAGCCAAACTGATAGAGTCTCACGAAATTCAAGGCCAGCAATGACTGTGATGATTGCTGGCTGGTTTGCTGTGTACACCAAGGCAGGGCGTTTCATTCAGTACTCCCTGAACCAGGCGCAGTGATTTTTGGCTAAGCTAAAGCACCTTTTGGAAGGACTCTCTGGTTACAAAAGCTGAGTGAGTACCTGCAGGAGTCAGCGGGCTCTGGCAGTTGCCTGGTAACTCACTGAGCACTGAGGCTCCATCCCGGGTAACAAAAGGCTAAAGCATCCCTTAATTAGCTGTTCAATGGACGGCTGCCTCTGCCTACTCCTCCTGCCCAACTCCTGACTCATTCGAAGGGAGAGGGATGCCCATGGGTCAGCAATGAAAGTCCCTCTCAAAGGAGCCTGATGTTTGGCTGAGCAGCTGTTTATCCCCAGAGGACATATCAATGAGGGAGGCAGCAGCCCACCAAAGGGTCTGAGGCAAGTGAGAGAGATATTCCTGCCAATATCAGCCTCAAAGAAATCACTCTGATGTCAGAAATTAATTATCACCGGGAATATTTTCTTTCCCAGCTGCCCAGATAGAAGAAGACTAATTGGCCAACCAAGTGAAGATAGACTGAGCGGGAACGGAGACACAGATCAAATAAACAGGTGCTGGATTCATGCACTCACTTTCTGCTCTCATTTCACCTCTGCCAGAGCCAGAGGCTGGGCCCACAGAAAACATCGATAAAACCCTGCACTGCCTTCAGCAGGGTAAGATATGGCCAACAAAGCCCAGTCCAGCTCAGCATTTACCAGCAGAGCTTGGGCCATCCTTTCCACTCACCAAAGGCTGCTGAGCCACAGGGGTCTGTGAGAGAAGCCTGCAGAAAATAATAAAAAAAAAAAGCAGCTGCCAGTCCAAAGGTGGCTCTGCGTGGGCTTTGGGCTGCCTCCTGTGTGGTCAGTCGTTCTCTCAAAAGCAAAAAGAGGAGCAAGAAGAACCTTCCCTCTTCAGCTCAGGCTCCAGAGAGGAGGCATAGCTCAGAGATCAGCTTAAAGGAGAAAAGCTGTGAAGTCACCTCAAAGCTGGTGTCCTTTGGCTCATGCCCTCCTCGGAGTCTCTGCTGATGGGAGGAAGCGACCATCTCTCTCATGTCCAGGGTGGGAACTGAACAGAGATCCCTCAGTTTCCTTCCTCTGTGCTACCACGCAGCTGGCAGGCGGCTACGGGCTTTCAGGCCGTTTGCAAACTTAAAATCTCCTTCCATGTCAGCTGTAAAACCGTGGGTGGGAAGTTGGCTTACTGCTCTTTTCCATCCCTCTCCCTTCCCTCCACTCTTTTTCTCTTTAAAGACAAAAAAAAAAAAGGCTTTCGGCAGTTGCTACTTACAGCAAGAAAAAATAAAATACAACCCAACCCTACATTTTGCTCATTTTCAGTCTCTATGGCAACAGAACACAGTTGGCCAAAGCAATTATCCTGCCTCTGGCTGTTGAGATGTTTAAAGGCTGTTACAAAAATGAGAAGTTGTGGGAATACAGCGAGTGTGATCACAGGAACATTTGCATTTAATTGCTGGGAGACACTTTGACTTCGCTTTTAAATGAACACCATTAAGTGCACAAATGCAAAACCGCTTACAAGGACTGAGGGAGAGGGAGAAGAGCAGCTCCAGCTCCTCGGCCTCTGACTGTACGTGTCTGACTGTGGACTCCAGTGGCACCAGTCCCACCCAGTTACAGCCTCCACAGTCTCTGTTCATACCATTTCTTTACACTCCAACTATACAATATGCATTCTAACGCAACGTATTGTGTCTCCTACACCAGCTTCTCCATTTTCTTGCCACACGTTACCATTTGGGGGGTATTCTGTCATTTTACTTTAAACCTGGATCTTTTCTCTGAGCCCCTACCCCAGGCAGAGTTCATTCAGCACTAATAAGAAGGCAGCAACAAGCATGTGGAGGTAGAGGATTCCTTAACTCGGCTTCACCAGCAGAGAAAACACATCCTGTAGCTAAACACTCACTGACTGGTGTGGCAAGACAGCTGACAAAGTATTTTAAAGCCAGAAGATGCTGCCAAAGCCTATTTTGAGGTCCCCACCCCCTGGACAATGAGACAGCTTCAACTTCTGGCCTGTTTGGCTGTCACCATTGAGCTGTGTCGCTCAGCGCGCGGTGCCCAAAGACCCACAGTCCCAGGGACACTGGGTCCTCCCAAACAAATCCAGTGTGAAACAAAAACCAGTCTCACCTGGTTTACCTTATTTTCATTGGGATCCGTTACGCGGTCTATTCCATACTCGAGGACGTCCAGCATGCCGGGCTGTCACGAACGAGAAACATCAACAGCTTCAAAACTCATTTCTTTTGAAGTTTGTGGTTCACACAAATGTATGAGGAGACCACAGGCCACCACCCCCTACTTACGGGAGTTCGGTTCACAAGCCAGTAGGCTCTCTCCTGGCAGTCCAGGGCGTACCTATCCGCTTTCTTCCGCTCCTTCCCTGCCCTGCAAAGCCAAGAACAGGATTTAACTCTGCCAGGGGAACACAGGAGTTTTGCTCTCCCAAAGCCAGTGGGATGAGGAAGGGGGCACACCTCCAGCCTGCCCTTGGATGCAGCCTCCTGACCACGTCTCACCCCGGCTAACTCTGGCCTTCAGCTCAGGCTGCTCACATGGCCACACATGACTGTAGCTTTTGAGAAATCATCATCTTCCTGAGCTCAGCTGGGAGCAGACACATCCTCTTTTGATTAGACAGACAGCCCTTTGGTGGAGTTTTATGCTACTTGCGGTCAGTCCTGCTGCCTCATGTTGATCCATCTCCCATGTCCCCGGGCGCTCTCTGAGGACTGCCACACAGATACACCCCGCCACGTCTCCCACTAAAGGGGGGTATTTCTCACAAAAATGATTTGGAAACGGTACCAAGCAGCGTTCCCAGGCACCAAAACCCAAATCACCTCTGCTATTAAATAGAAGAAGCACCAGCATGGTTTGGGCTTGGACCAACTAATTCTTTCCCAGACAACTCCTGGGCACAATCTGGGACTCAGCATGGGCAACGGAGCATTTGCATGTGGCCACCCCGCTGTGGTTACCGGGGTGGATGCGGGCTGCTCTGCACCAGTCTGCCCCAGCAGCACCATCAAACAGCCTCAGACGTGTTTAATCTGCTCGTTCAGACACAGTCTCGGTATCTAACTTGAAAACTGCATTTGGCATCTCTTAGCCCAAGTCTGACCTCAATTTACAAGAACAACAGTCTCGTGTTTAATGAGACAGTTATCTGATGAGCTGTATTCTGACGACTTGGCCACCGTCCCAGCGCAGACAGAAGCGCTGCCGAGCAGCAGAGGCAGTGCCTGCCGTAGAAGGTAAAAGGAATACACAGAAGTAGGAAAGATCCTATCTCCAAAGGAGCAATCCCATCTCATGTTCACTTTCCTGGGAATCTGAAGGATTCAGCTCCTCAAGCCATGTCATTCTGGCTGGGAGCCTAAGTATGCGCTTCAGAGTTTTCCCCAGAAGTTCCTGCTGGGAACATTTACTGCTGCTTGACTCAGGCCGTTCGGTTCAGCTGTAAGACACGCGCAAGCAATAACTGACCCAGAACAAGAAGAGGTCCTAAGTCCAGCGGCCTGATCCACAAATGCTCACAGACCACCCTGAGCTACAAGAAGCTGTCTCTAACAGGGGCTCTCACGCTGCAGCATCAGCCCTCGGCTTCTTCAGGTGCAAAAGCTAAACCTCCCCTTGCTCTTACACATGTGCAGAACCATTTGCCAAGAGGCACTGCCGGCAGGAAGGGCACCCACCCCCGCCTCTGCTCTCGCTCTCACAAACCCAGTCGAGTCTTTGGTGGAGAAATGCCGGGCGGGGAGAGAAAGGGGGGTGCAGCGGGTGCCCAGTCATTACACACCCACTGACATCCTCACCCACGAGTGCAAAGGAACTACATTTCCTCCTCAGATGGAGGAACCCCGAGCTGATCGGAAAGGCAGGTTTGTTTCACAATCTTGAGGGGCACTTGCAAGTTATTGCAAAGCTCCAGTTTATGTTTTCAAACTGTAATTTAAGTGTATACCGAGACAGCGAGGCTCTGCCTCCTCATGCCCTCCCCAGCGATGCAAATAAGGGAACAGAAGACAACTCACTTGTACTGCTCTTTGGCCTGCATAATAACAAAATCCCACTTGTAGTTTATTTTTTGATTGAGCATGTTGTAATGTTCCTGGAATAAAAATTAAAAAAAGCAGTTAGTGTGAAAATTGTGGACCAGGCGCTCCCATGGCAGGGATCTCTTGTCTCTCCATAGCTCAGCTGGGCCAGGGCAACCCAGCCAAGGAATCCGGACTCCACTGAACATAATTACATGAATTGCAACAATTCAAAATACCACTGCAAGGAGAGCAATCATCCCCACTAAAATCATCATCGACTTCAGAGTATTTTCCAGTATTGGCCACTTTTTCACTTCCAAAATCCTGGCTTTTGACACTGCTGGAGTAAGGTGTCAATCGAAGAGGTGACTTTTGCCACGCTGCACCCATTAGTGACAGGGCTGAAGCTACAGCAAACGAGGGGCTCACAATGGAGCAAGTACAACAACTCCTTACCTTTTCATATTCCTCTAAAATCCCTTTCCTCTTAATGTTCTTCTTTGCTAGGTAAATTGCTGTGGAAGGAGAAGCAATTAAGCAGTCAGTTATACTTAGACCAACAAATCAAGAATAATTAAAAATTTACCCACGGGACAAACACAGGAATCTTTGTTACAGCATCTTCCCAGGCACGAGCTCCAAGCTCACAAAAGCTCACTGAAGAACAATGAACTTGGTGCTTTCACTTTGTCACTGACACCTGAGGAGCCGGTGCCCAGGCCGGGAGCAGCGTGTGCCTTCTGCCAGCTGTGCCCCCTCCCCTGGGAGCTCACCAGGGGCTCACCCGTCAAAGGATTATGGACCAAATCTTTCAGATGTTGAGGTTCTTCAGAGGTGTCCCTGCCCACGGCAGGGGGTTGGAACTAGATGATCTTTTAAGGTCCCTTCCAACCCCAACCATCCTATGATTCAGAGTTTGACCTCCACCTCCACGTTTTCCAAACATGGGCCAATGTTTTGTTCCAAATTCTATTCGAATCTAAAAATGGGCGCTTTTAATTTCTCCAGAAGACCTACAGCATAATGTAGATAAGTCACAGAGGACAATCTTGGTATAAACAAGTCAGTCTGTGAGCTGCACAGCCCACAGGAACAAACCAAGCCAATCAGCCCAACTTTGATGACCAGCCCTATAATAAAAAGCCTTATAAAGGCAACAGAAGATTGACATGGAAAGAGCCATCAGGAAATAGTGGGAGCCACTGTGCATTATATAAAGAACAAACTATCTCTGATGGCAGGGCTTGATCCAAATCTGCAGGAAGACAGTCTTGGGCTCTGATCCAGGAACACACTTAACTACTCAGGGAAATTGAACCTTGTGTTTAATGTCTCCCTGCCCAGCAGTCTCTCAGATGTGTTCCAGTCGATGGATTTAGTGGAACCTAAGAGAAACTTAAGCGCTTTCTTTGGAGACCACCACAAGGTGGTAACACCCAGAGCCTTCCCTCAGTTCAGCATTACTGAGAATTATTCACAAAACAGCGTGAAAGGAAATGCAAGGGCTGGTCATGGTATGAGGACACACAGCTCGATACGATGAACAGCAAACACCGTGCAGGACTGTGTGCACAATCACGAGGGCTTGCACGAGTCCTCCCAAACACGTACAACACTGTCACTTACCATAGTCTGTGTCATCAGCAGGCCAGCTCTGCGCGGGCCAGAAATAGGGGGTCTGCAGAAAAACAAGCCTTTGGTTAGTGCCCAGTAGCCATGAACTGATGGGAAGAGGCGCACAGCAGCACCCGCAGCGCAGGGAGAGGAAAGTTCTCTGCTGCACTCACAGCCCAGCTCCCCACAGCTGGGTGTCACCCACCAGGGTGGAGAGCCCAGCTCCAGCTCCAGCAGGAGACTCGGGGTCAGCAGATGGCCAGTGGCAAATCCACAACCATGGCCAACCCCTCCCTGCTGCCTGAGCACTCAGCCCGGGGTGCTGGAGCCCCAGCTGGCACCATGTGGGAACCAG